CCCCACCTCAGGCCTGAAAGGAGCTGGGACCGGGTGGTGGGATAGCCCCGGGCTAGAGCAGCAGGGGGAGGTGGTGACCACGGCCGCCTGCCGTCTGGTCATTGGTCCTCAGCACGCGCCTCCAGCGGGGCTGCCTGCGTCTGTGTCCAAGGCCTTGTCTGCCCAGGCTGCTCCTCTGAGTGGGGCAGTGGGGAAGGGGCTAGTCTTGGTCCGACTTTTGGCCAACACAAACCCCTCCAATGCCTCCCACCCCACCCAGGGCCTTACTCCCTCTGCCTGTTGCCGGGTTTTGAGTGTATTTTTTCCAGAGGCCTCTGATTGTTTCCTGAAGAAACCCGATCCCAGAGCTCATACAAAAGCTGGGGCCGCCAGAGGAGAAACCCCATTCTCTCCCCCTCTGTCCCTACCCCCCCCCCATAACCTCTCTCGCTTGGGATGCTGGGTATGGGTTCCAGGACCTGGCTGCCATCACCTAGGCAACAGGGGGCTTTGGTTGCCATGGTGATCAATGTGGGAGAAGCTGGGCAGCAGGGACAAAAGCCCCCACATTCCCCCCCGCCCCAGCCCTCCTCCCAATCCTCTTGGGATGATACTGAGACACATTCCATTAATTTTATTTCTGAAAGGCCTTTGGAGGGGAGAAGGGTCTCCTTTTTGTGACGGCCTCTCTCTTCCCTCCCATTCTCCTCTCTGGCCAACCCCAGATAATCCATGGTTGGTTTGAGCAGGGGACCGGGTGAGTGTGTTTGTGTGTCTGGGGTGGGGTGGGGGCAAGGTGAAAAGCAATGGAACACATTCCCTTTTACAGTCTCCCACCCCCCAAACCAGGGCACTCCCTGCCCTGCAGCAAGTCCGGACTTCCCTCCCAGTCCTGTCATGCCTCCCACATTTCCACTTGTTGATCTCATCCAGCGATCCCCTCCCCCACTCTCTTCCCTGGGAACGCTGCCCACCCGGGAGACCCTCCAAACCCCTGATTGCTGAGACCGATTAAACAAGGGGAACTTCTGCCCTTCTCTTTGCTCACCTCCCATCCTTCCCCACAGCTTCTCCAGTGCTTGGATTAGTTTCCTGGGGTATTTGAGGGGACAGCAGGCAAGGGCCTCAGAAATTGGGTTCATTTTTGGCCCCTCTCTTTGGTAGGGGAGGAAGGAGCATGTTTTGGTGCTTTCTGGGCACCTTGAGTTGGGTTGGTAGGGGTGGGAGAAGCAGGCCAGGGGAGCTGGGTTTATGTTGGGTCTTTAATAAGTAGCTGGGAGGAAGGTAGGGAGCTTTAGGCCAGGGCAGCTTAGAACAAAGGGCTGGGAGGGGACTGGCACCCTTGTCTGGTTTGAAATTTATCTGTAGGGGAAGTACAATGGCATCAGCTTCCCTCCTGGGTGTGTTTGAAGTGGTGGTTCTGGTCTGGTGTGTGTGTGTGTGTGTGTGTGTGTGTGTGCACGCACGCGCGCGCGCGCGCGCGTGTGTGTGTGTGTGACTTTAGTTGTACAAGCAGCAGGATTTATTTATACCACCTCTTTCCCAGGTCTCAGAGGAAGTATCTGGGGATTAGAGTAGGAATGATCCTGAAGCCAGAGTGTATTAATTGCTGAACTTATTACTTGCTGAGCAGTTTATTAAAGTACTTCTTTTACCCCCAGGATACGTACAGCAACCGCACGAGGTGTGTATCATTTTCCCTATTTTACCAATGAGCCTACCAGGCTGCCAAGCACAGAGAAGTTAAGTAACTTGCGCATGGTCACACAGCTCATCAGCGGGACAGTTAGGCTTGGAATTCAGATACTTGGCTGCAAATCCCAGGCTCTTTTTGCTGTTGGCTCTGGCAGACATGAGAATTCAGGCTGGGGAGATGGAGAGTCTGGGTTCTGGTGTCTCTGTCTGGACTGGAGTCCATGGCAGTCCTTTTCGTCTTTATTTCTCCACCTTTCTCACTCAGTAACCCAGTTGTTCTCTTTGAACCTCCTGGTGAAATTCAGTTTTTAGGAGGATGACTAGAAAGAATAAGCTGAACCACAGCAAGAGAGCTGCAGGTGATGTGTCTGAACTGTATCAGGGACTAGACCAGTAGAATGGGTTCTTGGGGGAGACGGGGTAGTGGAGCCCAACGTGTAATTTACAGACAGGGAGATGAACAGGGCCTTGTTTGTAGCAAAGGTTTTTAGAAAGGTTTAGGGTGGGTTAAGATCCTGTGTCTCTGTTTTCCTTAAGTATGTTTCTGTCACACACTTGCCTTGACATGGGGCTATTGACAGACATCACTATGCCGTGGAGTGCCTCCACATAACTCTGTTAGGAGGATAAATGAATGGATTTAGCATTGATTTCATCTCCCTACAGTCGTTGCAGTTTCCCTGAGAGTCAGGTGGGTATTAGTTACTTGCTATCTGCCCATGGGAAGGTGGTAGATACAAATATGTATCAATCATAGTTCTTATTCTCAAGTTACTGATGGTTCAGTTCAGTTGGAGAAAAGTTAACAACTACATAAAGCAAATTAACGTAACTGACCTCTGGCAGCACCTGGCTGATTTTATTCCTACCTTGAAACACTCTAATTCTTGGCTGCATGACAGCCCACTCTTCTGGCTTCCAGGCTCCTCTGGCCTTGCCTTCTCAGCCCCTTTGCCTGATCCCTTTCCTCGGACACGTTTACATATTGGGGTTCTCAGGCACCCCCTATTTAACCCTCTCCCTGGGTGATCTCATCCATTCCCTTGACCTTGCACACCATCCATACCTCTAGCTCAGACTCTTTTCTGAGTCCAGCTCCTCTGACACCAGCTGCCTGTTCCACAGCCTGTCTCACAGCCATGAACTCAGCACACTGGAAACTGAATTCACCAACTTCCTTCCCAGTCTTCCCAACTAATAATGGCACGACCGCCTACTCTCTTGCTCAGGCCAGAGATCTTGACATTCCCCTCACCCTCACGCAGTCCAATTAAGTCCTGTTGGTCCTACCACCAACATATGTCGCAAAAGTGACTATTTCCCATCTCCTCTGCTGCTCTGCCCCATCCAAGCCTCACCACTGTAGTCGCTTCTTTTTTTTCAATTTTAATTTTAATTTTATTTATTTATTTTTGGCTGTGTCGGGTCCTCATTGCTGCACGCGGGCTTTCTCTAGTTGTGGCGAGAGAGGGCCACTCTTCATCGTGTTGTGCAGGCTTCTCACTGCGACGGTCTCTCTTGTTGTGGAGCGCGGGCTCCAGGCATGCGGGCCTCAGCAGTTGTGGCACACGGGCTCAGTAGCAGTGGCTTGCGGGCTCTAGAGCACAGGCTCGGTAGTTGTGGCTCGCGGGCTCTAGAGCGCAGGCTCAGGAGCTGTGGCGCATGGGCCTAGTTGCTCCACGGCATGTGGGATCTTATCTGACCAGGGATCGAACCTGTGTCCCCTGCATTGGCAGGCAGACTCCTATCCACTGCGCCACGAAGTTAAGCCCAGTAGTCGCTTCTTTACTCATCCCCCTACTTCTGCTTTCTCCTCTTTCCAGTCCATACCTGCATAGCTAAAACCCTTTGCAGGCTTCCCATGAGCTCTTCTCCTGACCCATGGAGTTTGCAATAACCCGGCCCCCGGGCACCTTCCACTGCCCTCTCCCTTCCGCAGCTCCGGCTCCACTGGTCCACCCAACTCTTTGCTGCCTTTGGCCTTCCACGGGGGATTCTGAGCTCTGCAGGCTTTTCCCTCCGCTCTGCCTGCTTAACTCCTGTGCTCTTTCAGGCTTAGCTGTTGCTTTCTCAGACTTTCTGGAGCCACTCAGTTTGAAGGAGCCCGGTCCCCAGACTTGTCTGTCATACTGTCCTCATTATTCTCCTTTCATCACTGATGTAGTTAGTCGTTTATACTCACCTGTTTACTCGTTTAGCGGGCACCTGCCCCGCTAGATTGTGAACTCAGGGTCTTTTCACCACTGTACCCAGGGCCTAGCAGGGTACATGGTTCCTAGAAGGAGCCTAAGCAAGAGCTGATGACTCAGTGAGTGAAGGTAGGAAATGACTGCTCAGTGCATGGGGATGATGATGGTGGGGTTGGGGTTGGAGGGGAAGATGTAACATTGGGTGCTGGGGGAGGTGGGGGGCTTTCGTGAGGGGGTAGGGGCTGCGCTCTGAGGAATGAGCAGGATTTGGTTGAGAGTGAGAGAGGAGGCGAGAAGGAGAGGTCCTTCTCCTGCAGAATTAGAAGGTGAAAGTATAGAAGAAAGATGCTGCCCCTCAGCCCACAAATAGCCAGATAAGCTCATGACCTTGCCTAGTTCAGGATGTTAGGTTGTCAGAGAATGATTTCTACTCGCCTTTTCCTCCTGCCCCCCACCACGTGATCCGTAGTTTCCATTCCTTACCCCCGCTTTGTGCGCACACACAAGCACACACACGCGCACACACACAGCCTCAGGGGGAGCCGCCAACTTGACCTGGCAGTAACTATGGGTGTGTTTGCCGTAGATGCTGGGGAGCGGATGCCAAGAGAAGCAGCCACAGGCAGTCCCCTGTGGGCACACTCAGAACTTATGAGTGGGAGGAGATGAGGGGAGAGAAGGAGAGGCTTGGGGTAGCCTCTGGGCAGAGCTAGCTGCCTCCTGCTATGGTCTCCACTGGTCCAACCAGTTGGCCTGGCCAGAACCTGCCTTCTCCAAGTCTTAGTTTTCCTGGCTGAGGATAGGAAAGCATTGCCTGGTTCTCCCCTGCAGGGGGTCCAGAGTTGGGTCATTCTGGGTGGCCTTTGCTGGCCATCTTCCCCCACCCCTGTGCCCTGGGCACAGTCTGGGGGTGCTCTTTCTAGGAGGCAGGGCAGGAGGAACTGGGCCCACTGGACAGAGCAGGAAGCTGGGTGCAATATTCTCAGGTAGTGGCAAGGCTGTCCTGAGCTTCCTGCAGCTGCCTCTTGGGGATGGCTTTCCTCTCCACTCTGACCTCACAGAAAGCTCCAGCTCCCCCCTAATCAGCTGCTTCCTCTCCTCAGGAGGGCCGCTTGATTTTCTCTGAGACCAGCCCACCCGTCCAGCAAAATAGAGTCCCTCAGGGTGACGGTTGATTTTCTAAAGGTGCCCCTTGGCCTGAAGAAGTCGGTGCTAAAGGAGGTGGCAGTGGGGCCCCCCAAAAGGCCCCAGCCTGTGGCCCTGGAGCGCTACAAGGCGCGGCGTTCAGACGCCATGGACACCGAGTCCCAGTACTCAGGCTATTCCTACAAGTCGGGCCACTCCCGCAGCTCCCGCAAGCACAGGTGGGTGTGCGTGGGGCGTGACGCAGGTCGGGGGGAGGGGTGGAAGCATGCACAGGGGTGGTGGACTGGGGGTGGCTGCGGAGAAACCCGGGTCCTCCCCTTGACCTCCTGTGCCTGTTCCCCTGGCCTCCTGCTGCAGGGACCGTCGGGACCGACACCGCTCTAAGAGCCGAGACGGGAGCCGTGGGGACAAGTCGGTGACGATCCAGGCTCCAGGGGAGCCCCTGCTGGACAATGAGTCCACGAGAGGGGATGAGCGGGTGAGCGTCAGGGGGCTGAGGTCTAGGCCAGGTGTTTTCCAGACTGATCCTTGGAGAAGCTAGAGGTCCATGAGAAAGGGGAAGGGCCTGGAAACCTGGTCTCTTCCGACAGAGACCAGATCAGGGAGGGCATCTTGTGTCATACTTCTGCCAAGTGTCCCAAGCTAGGACCTTGTTTCAGTAGAATGCAGTAGAATTTCAGTAGAATTCAGAGATCCCTTTGGAAGCAGCAGCCTCTTTCGTCTTTATGACCCATGTGACTGGGGCTGTGTAATGGGAATCGCCTGGCTCCTCTGGGCTCAGGCCCGCCAGTTAGGGGGTTGGGAATCTGGAGTGGGAGGGGCTGGGGGTGTGGCAGCCCTGAGTTCTCCTTGAGCCTAAAGGCATGGGCACTCCAGCGCTCTCTGGTGTCGGACTCTAGAATAGCACCTCTAGTCTTAGGGTAGGTGGGAGGAGTCGACGGAGAAAGGGGAGGGAGAAGAAATGAGCCTGGGGAGACGGAGGAGGTTCTGCAAGAGAGTTCTCTGGGACAGGGCTGAGCAGGTTGCTCCTGGTCTAGCCTCTCTGGCCCACTGTGTGCACCTGGCAGGGAGGTCAGGGGGCAGAACCCAGTGCTGGCAGAAGGCAGAGGCAGGATTTGAGTTGACTGTGAGGTTGTCCATGTCTCATTCCTCCTTTTCTTTCTTCTTGGGAGCATCTTAGGGGGCTGGAGATTTCACAGGACATCTCTGTGACTGACACTGGGGATTCCTGGGTCTTGGGAGCAGATCACTACCTGAGGGAAATGTTCTTTCTCTCTCTTTCCCAATCCCATCTTCTCCCAGAGACCTGGCCTCCTGAATTCTTGAAGTGACCCTGAGACCTGATCAGCTCCTGTTGTTGACGATTCCCCAGGCCCTTGATGCTTGGAGCGCCTAGGCAGTGTGACTGAGGGTCATATTAGGGTTCCCTGAGCTGATAGCAGGCAGCGCCTCCACTTTTCATCTTCTGGTCAGACTCCTCTCCTCTCCTCGGGGGGGAGATTCTTCCACCCCCTAGTCGCTGACCCTGCCGGGCAGTCTCCTACACGCCCCATTCTGTGTCTCTGTCCTGTAGCCTGAATCCCCTGGGTGTCAAAATGTGACTCCATATTCCCAGACTGTCCACGAGTTAAGGGTGTAGGCACGGATGACCACTGGTGGCCTTGGGGCTCCTCCGAGGGATGGCATCCAGCCTCTGCAGAGAAACAGCTTGAGTGGACCACACTCAGAAGGGCACCAGGGGACCTCAGCCTGTCCACCCACTTGCCTCCGGGAACAGGCAGCCCCTGTGTGGTGGGCATTCAGATGGCCCAGTAGAGCCAGCCAGGCGGACCAGAGACCCAGAGTGGCCCCGAGTCTGCACTGCGTCTCACATGCCCCGCATTAGTCACTCACCTTCCCCAACCCTTCCTGCCGGTGTCCTCTTCTCTTCACCACGCTGCCTTTGTCAGGTCACTCCCTTAACCAGAAACCTTGAGTGGCTCTCCGGACTTGGAGGATAGGTACCTGTTGCTTATCCTGGCCTTGCAGGTGGCCTGCTCGAGCCTGCCCGCTTTGCCTGGAGAGTCTGACCTCGGATCCCAGTCTCTGGCTGAGCGGCTCCCTGGCATCTGTCTTGTACCCTCTGCTCTTAGGGTACATGGGTAGTTTTTTGCTGTCTGGCTGATGGCATGAAGCTCCCACAGGGCCCAGGTCTCAGATGTCCCATCCCTGCAGAGGCCAGGCTTGGGCATGCCGTGGAGCTCAGTAAATACTTTGATGGCCGCATGTTTGTTGATTACCTTCTTTTCTCCTCTCCCTGCTTTGCTCTCTATCTTCTCCCCGCTCACCTTTTCTCCTGTGTCCCTGCCTCCTCCTCCTCTCCCCACATTGCTGCGGCCCCTCCTGATGCAGGACGACAACTGGGGGGAGACAACCACAGTAGTAACGGGCACCTCAGAGCACAGCATCTCCCATGATGACCTCACGCGCATCGCCAAGGACATGGAGGACAGCGTCCCGCTGGACTGCTCCCGGCACCTGGGCGTGGCGGCAGGGGCCACGCTGGCCCTGCTGTCTTTCCTCACGCCGCTGGCTTTCCTGCTGCTGCCCCCACTGCTGTGGCGGGAGGAGCTGGAGCCGTGCGGGACAGCCTGCGAGGGCCTCTTCATCTCCGTGGCCTTCAAGCTGCTCATCCTGCTGCTGGGCAGCTGGGCCCTGTTCTTCCGCCGGCCCAAGGCCTCTCTGCCCCGTGTCTTTGTGCTGCGTGCCCTGCTCATGGTACTCGTCTTCCTGCTCGTCGTCTCCTACTGGCTCTTCTATGGCGTGCGCATCCTGGACGCCCGCGAGCGCAGCTACCAGGGCGTGGTGCAGTTTGCCGTGTCGCTGGTAGATGCCCTGCTCTTCGTGCACTACCTGGCTGTGGTCCTGCTGGAGCTGCGCCAGCTCCAGCCTCATTTCACGCTCAAGGTCGTGCGCTCCACCGACGGGGCCAGCCGCTTCTACAACGTGGGCCATCTCAGGTATGGGCGCGTTGGGGCAGGCAGACGGGCCTGGGGAGGAGGCTGAGAGGACCGTAGGGTAGGAGGGTGTGATGGTGGGGCTGGAAAGGATGGGTTAGGAGGGCTGTGTGGGACGGAGTTGCGTACTCTGCACATCCTAGGTTTTCAACAGCGTTTGTCAGGCTGAGGGTCCTGGAGCAGGTAAGGCGGGAGTTAGGAGTTGGGAGTGAATAGATGAACAGACAATTAGAGATCGGGGATCTTAGAGAGGGATGGACCAAAGAGGATAAAGGTTTGGGGCATGAACAGGGGCTTTTTGGAATCATGTTTCTAGCTCTTTCTTGGAGGCACAGCCTCTTGAGGGCACTCAGTCAGTGGTCACAGAGATGAGCTGGCCAGAGGAGGGACTCCCCCCCAGAGGAAAAGATAATGAGAAAAGTTCTTCAGCCCCCCTAAACTTGTGGGCAGGATACCCGCCCTGGCCATCCAGAGTATCAATAGCACCTCCTGGTCCTGCAGGGAACCTTGAGGGGAGAATGATGGAGGGGAGGAGGTGACCATTGGCTGGGGACCCTGGCCCAATGCCCTTTCTCCCCTGGGCTTCAGCACGGCAGGGAAGGACTGGCAGGCCCAGCCCTGGGGAAGGCTTGGGAGCCTGGTAAGTAGACCTCAGGCCTTGAGCCAGGCTCCTTGGAAGCAGCTTGTCCCTGCCCTCTGTCCTCTCCTGCCCTGCCAACCTGCCCTGATGTGTCCCTCCCCCTGCGCCCCTTGTCTGTCCGTTCTCCCTCCCCCTCCTGCCGTGTCCCCCACAGCATCCAGCGCGTGGCAGTGTGGATCCTGGAGAAGTATTACCATGACTTCCCTGTCTACAACCCTGCCCTCCTCAACCTGCCCAAGTCCGTCCTGGCCAAGAAAGTGTCTGGCTTCAAGGTGTATTCCCTCGGAGAGGGTGAGCGGCCCTGCTCCTCGGCCTCCTGGTCTCCTCCCAAGCAGGATTCCCAAGTTCCTGCCTCCCGTTTCTCTTTCCCCCTTCTTCCCTTGCTTTCTCCTTTCCCCAGCCCCTTCTGTTCTGTCATTTCCCTTAACTCCAGGTGGCTGGTCTTAGCTGCTGACTCTACTTGCTGTCCCTTTATGCTATGGTGCGTCCCCTTAATCTGGCTCCTCTGCGTCTGTTCATCAGCCCTGGTCCTAAGCCCTGGCTCTCTGAGCCCCAGAACCTCCTGCACTGGGGAGGAACATGTGCGGGACTCCTGCCCTCCGGTGCCTTCCTTGTTGCTTTCCTGTGGGCCTCTCCCAGATGCGGCCAGGAGGGTTGGGAACGGGAGGTATTGTTGGGGGATGGACACAGCTTCCTCTGGATGCCTCAGGTTGCTGGCTCCAGACTTCCTGGAGTGAGAAAGGAGGCCACGCGCTGAAGTGACCATCCCCTCTCTCTCCTGCTCCTGTGCAGAAAACAGCACCAACAACTCCACGGGCCAGTCCCGGGCCGTGATTGCAGCAGCGGCCCGGAGGCGGGACAACAGCCACAATGAGTACTACTACGAGGAGGCCGAGCATGAGCGGAGGGTGCGCAAGAGGAGGGCCAGGTGGGTCCCTGGGGGAGGAGCGGGTGCTGGGGGCTGTTGGGTGTGGATAGGCTGGGGAGAGGAAGACCATCGGCTTCTGTAACTGCTTATGATATGGGTGGGATGTGTGCATTAGCTTTTTGTTGCTGCCTTAATAAATCACCATGAACCCGGTGCTGCAAACACCCCACATTGATTGTCTTACAGTCCCATGGGTCAGGCACGGGTGAGCTGGACCCTCCACTCAGGGCTCATGGGCTGAAATCAAGATGACTCTTGTTTGAGCCTGAGTCCCCTTCCAAGCTCACTGGTTGTTGGCAGAATCAATTCCTTGTCACCTGGACCTATAGGCAGTTCACCTTTTCCTCCAGGCCAGCAAGACCAGGTCTGTCTCTGACTTCTGCCACCAGCCAGAGAAAACTCTGCTCTTAAAGGGCTCATGTGATGAGACCAGACCTGTCAGGATAATCTCCTTATTTTAAAGTCAACTGACTCAGCACTTTCACTGCATCTGCAAAACGTACCGAGATTATTGGTTCTTTTTTTTTTTGGTACGCGGGCCTCTCACTGCTGTGGCCTCTCCCGTTGCGGAGCACAGGCTCCGGACGCGCAGGCTCAGCGGCCATGGCTCACGGGCCCAGCCGCTGCGCGGCATGTGGGATCTTCCCGGACCGGGGCACGAACCCGTGTCCCCTGCATCGGCAGGCGGACTCTCAACCACTGCGCCACCAGGGGAGCCCAGTACCGAGATTATTGGATAACCAGGGGATGGGCATCTGATGGAAGTGGACGGACCATTTGAATTATGCTAACACATATATATGGAATCTAAAAAAAAAAAAATGGTCATGAAGAACCTAGGGGCAGGGCGGGAATAAAGACGCAGACCTACTAGGGAATGGACTTGAGGATGCAGGGAGGGGGAAGGGTAAGCTGGGACGAAGTGAGAGAGTGGCATGGACAAATATACACTACCAAATGTAAAACCGATAGCTAGTGGGAAGCACAGGGAGATCAGCTCGGTGCTTTGTGACCACCTGGAAGGGTGGGATAGGGAGTGTGGGAGGGAGGGAGAGGCAAGAGGGAAGAGATGTGGGGATATATGTATATGTATAGCTGATTCACTTCGTTATACAGCAGAAACTAACACACCCTTGTAAAACAATTATACTCCAATAAAGATGTTACAAAATAAATAAATAAAATAAAATAATATCCATTTATTTCCCGGGGGGAAAAAAATGAGGTTCTAGTGCCCATATCCTGGTAAATTCTTAAACGCTGTCCTCACTTCTCCTTTTTTCCTGTTCACATTGTTATGTGAATGCTAGTCGTGCCTGAAGTTTCTTTCTTGGTGCTTACTATTTGCCAGGGCCCACCTTGGTCTGTTGGGATTTCCACGGAGGAGGAGCAGAGGGTCATGGAGCTCTGCCCTTCCTCCCACATGATCTCCAGGCTTCCAGGGAGAAAGGTAGCCCTGACCCTGTTCTTACACGAGGCTGCAGTAGACTGAAGGTCAGCAGCTCCATTTCTGTGACATTCCAGCAAGTCTCCAGTTGTCTCAGAAAAGGCCCTCGTGGGAAGGAAACCAGAGATGTTCCCTTCCTCCTCTACCTTTGCCCTGACTAGGGTCTTTCGATCTCCTGTGCTGCCACCACCATAGGGGGCCCTTCCCTTCCCCATTACCTTGGTTGTAACCAGGAGAAAACTATTTCCCTTGGTTCAGATCCTGAGTCAAAAGGAGCTTTTCAAAACAAACTTTACGGAGACACTTGGGGGAAGCAAAAGAATAAACAGAGACATGGTAGACTTACACAGATCCACATGTTTACTTAGCCCAGAATCCCGTCCTAAGCTGCTTGAAGTCCCCAGGTTCCTGGGTTACCGGATACTGGTATTGTTTTGTATGTCTGGTATACTGGTATTGTTTTGTATGTCTGGTATACTGGTATTGTTTTGTATGTCTCTATGCTTTTAATGTAAATTGGCTTCTTTTCTCTGCTTCCCCCTTAACAGTATATTTTTGAGATTCACCCTTGTCTGTATATCTGGTTTGTTGCATCTCATCGCTGCAGAGTACTCAGAGAAATCTTCCGCCATCCTGACCAATATTTGGATGACGGTCATCTTCCTAATTTTTTCCATTTTGATGAATAAGTAATATCTTATTAACATTTTAATTCTCTGATTACTATCCAGTGACGACTTCATCTCTTTTTCAGCCTTTCAGTTCTCTTACAAATTATTTGTTCACCCTTTGCCCATTTTCTATGCTGTTCTTAACTTTTCCTTCTTGATTTGCAGCATATTTTTTGCATTACCTCTGCCCACCCCAGGTGTTAGTTAATGTTGCCCATGCTGTCCTGGTTGAATAGACATCTGTCATTTTGATGTAGTTATAGCTATTAATTTTTCACCCATTGAAGTGTGATTTGGCGGGTCTTAAGAAGGCTTTTTCTAGGGTTTGGTCCATAGTTGTCTCTCTAGGTTTGACACTAGATTGTCCTCCTGGGGTCCCTGGGCTGAGCTCACTGAGCTCTACAGCTGTTTCCTGTCCCTAGAGGGGGAAAGACCCTCCCCATCTACCCAGCTGCACACATGCATGTTCACATGCACACACACAGGCCCCAAAGCCTGGTTCTTTTTTTTTTTTTTTTT